CCTGTTTCCGTGCTCGCGATGGAGCTGAACTGGTCGCTCAACGTCCACCCGCCAATGGACAGACCGAACTTGGTGCCGCGAGCCTTTTGCTTTTGCTTGAACCCTTGGCCAAAGTTGCCGTACAAGCTGTTGCCTTGGTCGTTCCACGAGTCGCCATGCTCCGGCCACCGCTTTTGCACCGCGGCCCACCCGTCGTAGATCCCCACCGTGCCGTCGGGGTTGGGCTTGCCGAACGCGTAGTTGATGTGGGTGATCTTGTCCCAGTCCAAGTCGAAGATGCCAAAGTTGCGCTGGTAGATGGCCCATTCCATGTAGTACACCACGTTCTTGAGCTTGGCGGCTTCCACGGACGAAGTCATAGCCACCACAAGGGCGGCCAACGCAGACTTGGCGATCACGGTCATGCTTGTTGCAGTTTTGCTGGGGATGGCAAATTGAATAATGGCAGTTCCCGGCGTGGATGGAGCGGCTGATCTTCCCGTTGACCGGTTACTAGAATTCTGTCCGGAGTGTACTGGTACTACTATCAATAGAATACTTTAATGAGAAGAGTAGTACTTTGAGCTTGTTATTACTAAGCTAACTGCAGTGTACTATTAATACAGCTGTAGTACAGTAACACTTCACTTGCATTTTGATGACATTTGCACTTCACGTAAGTACTAGTACAGTTTTGGGAAAGCCATGTGGAACATTCTGATAACGTAGAATCTAACTGTAAGGTCATGCATCAGTTGTTAACACAGCACCAAATTGTGAGGGACTTTTTCGGGACCAATTCCCCGAGTGAGTGGGTGACACACCCACTCAATTGGTCAAATGCCCACTCACTCAGGGAATTTGGTACTATTGACCTAAAACGTCCCTGAGTTTGTGGGTGGAACTAATTGATTGCTACGATAAGTACAATCCTTACGTTAACGTTAAACACCGTTACGATGGCAAACAACGTTGTACAACGTTAATCGCACCCACGGTGAATACTACTACTATAATACTACTGAAGTAGCGTTAAACAGTATTGTATGTAAGCTGCACCATTGCTGGTAGTAATTCATGGTAATTCCTCCGAGTAGTAAATTGATGGGATTTGAATACCTCATCACTTAAATTAAGCTTGCACCACAGAAGGCGACAGCAGCCATGAGTTGTCTATCGGGGAAATGCTATTAAAAGTAAGCTTACGCCACACTCAAGGCGGCAGCAGCCATGAGTAAGTACAGAGAACCGAGTAGGAACTCGCGCACAGTGGTATCGACACTATTTTTTTCCCATGGAGCATTCATAAATTCCGACGGCAACCAATAGTATTTTTTCATATTTTATATTTTAACCAATAGTATGCTTATAAAAAGTTTGTAAATTGTATGATTGGATATAATAAATTAATCCGATTGATCTGATTGCAAAATTATAATTCGTACTCGGAATCACAACTTGCGCATTCGCATACAATTCCCCATATATTTCAAAATACCACTGTGCGCGAGTTCCTACTCGGTTCTCTGTAGCCTATCGGGGAAATGCAATTAATGTCGCTAGGCTTAGTGGCAGTGATATACACGAACGACGAAAGTATATTTCGAGAACTACAAATGTTCCTTATATGGTGCACGTCATCTAAAAACTTCCAACTGGCCAAATTGAAGAGTGGAGGTTTTATTATTTAACGTGCAATTAATGTAGTTAAACCCAAAATCCAGATACGTTAAATACCGATTTCATGCGTTTTATCACTGGAGTGGGAGGTTAAAGGTCCCCCTTGCCTCCGGATACGTTAAATACGGATAAGAGTCACATACAAAAATCAAGATACATTTGAGCGGCCACCCCTATGGCCAAATAGTAGTGGATCGCGAAACATCCGGATAATTAACCGGAAATTAGTAGGGGGGCTCCTCGGCCTGGTTCGCTTCGCTCCCGGCCTCCGGTGCTCCCAGACATTAGATAGATCATTGCTGTTATACTGAGTCGCTGCGCGGGCGAACGGGCCTGGTTCGCTACGCTCCCGCCCCTGGCCTAAGCTAGCTCCTGATAGTTCCGGATAAAATGTTTCGCGATTGTTTCGTGACCATCATTCTCTCTTACACAAACTCAAATATTCTGTTAATGTATTTCAAAGCACAAATTAATGCGTCACACAACAACCCCCCACCCGCCCTTCAAATCTAAGTACATCGCTATTATATGTATGTACTGTACAAATATGTACTTCGAAGTAGCAGGGATTGGGGCTGTGTTCAGTTGGTAAAATAATTTATATACTGCGTAGTATCCCTATGGGCGCAGTTTTTGGGACGCTTCGATGGAGGGGTTCCATTACTCCAAATTGCTATTATAATAGTGTTTCTTAAAGAGGAGAGAATTAATGCAGTTCGTAGAACTTAAAATCATGTCGAAATTCGTATTAGTGTTGATGGAAAATGAATTAAAAACGTGGAAATATCGATAGGCTGAAAACAATTCCGAGCTACTTGATTTTATCCAGTTACTCCGGAGTATCTGTCAAAAATTGAGTCTGATTGGCTGAAAATTTCAAAGTGATTGTTTTCACGGAACCAAGTTGTCACGGAACTGCGCCAATACAGTACGTATAGTTAGTTGGTGATGTGTGGCAAAATGTTGATCGGGCGTAGGAAGATGTGCTTTGTGGTAGGTGATTGTGGGTAGGAAGTTATATGCGATCTCCACAGCATGTTGCACATTACGCTAGTGTAATAGTCACGATATCAATTCTCCAGGATATCGAAACGTCGAAAACTTGTTATCTTTGGGGGATGATGCTATGAATAACAATATATTGACTTACAGTTAAAAACTGCCAGCTTTAATGATATTAGGATACAATATTGTGAGGTCTGAGGTTGATTTGCTGTGTAATTGCGCGATGAATACATATTTGCCCCCTCAAAGTATAGTCTAGGAATCAATGTAGTTATTAGGAAGCACTTTGAAATGTGAAAGGGGTGGCGCAACTACGATTCAATCTATCCCAGCTAACGTTACACCTCAAATCAGCACCCCCAAACTTAAATGCCGAATATTTCGAAGTATTAGTATAGTGTAAGTACCAGCCCCCTTCACTTATAGCTACAAGTACTGCAGTTGTTCACCTAATTATTTTCGTTTAGAATCTCGTAGAGTACTCAATTATGACTATCGTATGTCGCTAGTAAACACATACGCCTTGCATCAACTGTCGATGGAACGGGAGGTCGTCAAGGTTTCAAATTATATATTCACTACAACTACCAAACGTTTGAAAATCACGTGAAGCTATATTCAAGTAATGTACAGTATAATCATAGACTGAATTTCTGTACACTATTAATAGTGTGGTAAAGGGCAGAGACAAGCACCCGTCGGCTGAAACGAGTGGCCATGATCAAAACTATAAATGCTACAACAATCTAACCCTCAAATAATGCAAGCCATAGTTTTGTTGGAACAACTGAACTACTGTATAGCGTATAGCCGCTCGCCCAGGAAATCACTGGAATAGATAAATTTGTCATATTCACATGCACAATCAAATTGCAAACAATATGAATGTGCGGGTCGACACTTGATCTTCCGCAACGTGCAAAAATGCTCATCAATGAGAAATGACGCCGTTGATCCAACACATCAAAATGACAAATTAATAAGGTAACGAACGTTACAAGGACAATACATTATGCCAAGTCGTTTTAGTGTCGTAGCGTTGCGGGTCAATAAATGGGATCTATCCAAGTGCTGTGAATTACATTTTCATGGCTGTGAAACTATTACTACTTAACGTACCATTGGGGGTGCCCGGGTACGGAATGGTTGCGGAATATTTCTGTCCATAGAAGGGGCTGGTCGCGGAATATAGCTATTGATGAGATGAATGCAACAAGTCCAGTACAGGGGAGTGGCTACATGCTTATTGGGGCTACGCTGTGCCCTTATGTAAGGTTTAGCTAATGAAATGTGACTACCCTAGTCACATTTCATTACCCTAGATGTAGCTACGCAGCTAGCTACAGTACAAGAGTGCAGCTGCAATACTATCGGCTTGGATCTAGCCAAAATAACATTACTACTAGTACTACATACTAGTACTTCGAAGTAGTTAGTATTTATTTACCTGCTCAATTGTGGTAGGGATACAACAAACTTAGTTGTATGTAATATGCCTTCGTAATGGTGGTTTAACGTTAGGATTGTACTTACCGTAGCAATCAATTAGTCCCACCCACAAACTCAGGGACGTTTTAGGTCAATAGTACCAAATTCCCTGAGTGAGTGGGCATTTGACCAATTGAGTGGGTGACACACCCACTCACTCGGGGAATTGGTCTTAACGTTACAAAAGAAGTTCTCATCAATACAGATTGAAGTTTCCATGTCGTCGTCCTACCACTTTGGACCTGATTCGTAGGATTCACGGCTTGGGAATAACCAAAACGACAAGCTCAACAGCAATGTTGCTTTCAATTGGTACCAGTAAGCTTGATATCGTGGACGCACCAATATTAGTCCTTGTCATTAATTATTATTGTCGTGGGAAATGTACTCAAGAGGAAGGCCATTGGATAGACAAGGCGAGCAAGTGTCACAACTCAGATTTCCGGCCGCGTGCAGTTTGAACTGTGCCTCCACACTGGCAACATCAATCGACTCAAAGTGGAGATTTGTATCGAAATTAATGTTTTGAGATCTTGATGTTTGTATGGGATTCATTGAATATGCAAATAATTGGATCAAAATAACATCTGTGGCCGGGACATTCTATTTAACGTTATTTTTATTGTTCATCGAGAAAGGAGGCGAATATTATCATACTGGTATCCAATCTACAAGGCCAACACACAATATCGAGATGCTATTGGCTAAAGTCAGGCAGCCACACAATTTGGTGCTGTGTCAACAATTGATGCATGCAAGACCTTAGATTCTACGTTATCAGAATGTTCCACTTGGCTTTCCCAAAACTGTACATACCTAAAATGCAAATGTCATAAAAAAACATGTTGAATGTTACTAGTACGCTGTAATCAGCTTAGTACTACGTACAATAAATCGTACTCCGTCTGTTCCAAAATAAGTGCGCGATTCAGGAAGTTGATGTATGCCTCCTCCAATAAAAATACAAAACACTCCAACCTTACATGTTAATATGCACTATACAGGTGTAACGATACACTGGGCCAATCAGAGGATGCCAAATCCATGTCTCAGGACCAATCAAATTCGTTAGGATGGTTCCTGGCGTAAATCCCCCTCTTGCAGTGTCAGAATTACCGAAAGTCGTCGCACAAGGACCATCAACAATACCACCACACATCGTTTCGTGTTTACTCGTCATCTTCTACACAAATTGGCTCAATTCCCACTTCAATCATGACGTCAAGCAAACTTCTGAATATAATGACGTGTCATGTCCCCCTCCTCAAACTCGCGCACTTATTTTGGAACAGAGATTACACGTACTAGTATAGTACTACTGTACCAAGC